AAAAAAAAGGGGGGGAGGAGTTGGAGTGTGATGGGGGTATATCGTAAGAGAGTATATCATAAGCATGTATGGAAATGTCACAATGAAACATCTTACATACGAAAAATATAATGCTACTTTTTTTTTTGTCAGTTGTGTGGTTTGAACTCTGTACCTGAGCTCATCAGCTCAAGGCGAAAGCTCTACCACTTGAGCCACAGCACCACTTCCAACTTTCTGGTGGTTAATTGGAAATAAGTGTCTCACAAACTTTCCTACCCAGGCTGGTTTTGAACCTCGATCCTCAGAGCTCAGCCTTCTTAGTAGCTAGGATTACAGGTGTGAGCCACTGGTGCCTGGCCTATTATATGGTACTTTAAAAAGTCTTGATTAAAAAAAAAAAAAGGAAGAGGGGGTTGGGAATGTGGCTTAATGGTAGAGTGCTTGCCTAGTATGCATGAAGCCTTGGGTTTGATCCCTCAGTACCATATACACAGAAAAAGCTGGAAGTGGTGCTGTGGCTCAAGTGGTAAAGTGTTAACATTGAGCAAAAGAAGCATAGGGACAGTTCTCAGTATCTGAGATCAAGCCCCAGGAATAGCAAAAAGAAAAAAATTTTAAAAAGAAAGAAAGAGGCTTCATGTGAATATGGCTATCAATAGATGCTCGAAGTTTCACTATTTTTTTTCTTTTTTTCTTGCAATAATGAGAATTGAACTTGGCCAGAGGCTCAATCATGGTCGATTAGTAGTCTGTCACTGGGTTCCATCTCCAGCCCTAGTGCCACTATTGATGGCAGCATGTGGGGTTGGTATAAGGCCAATGCTAGCACTGGCAGGGTAGACTCACCTGAAGAATGGATGACTCTGCTCCTCTTCTGCATCACATGCATCAGGGCGCCCACCAGCCCTTCTGAGGTCTGAGGTGGTGGCTGCTGGGCTGAGCTCTCTACGGCTCCAGGGGTCTGCAAAAAGTAGCACAGGGCCAGAGGACTTAGGTCTGCGAAAGGAACATTTCTTTTCTTTTGATCAAAGATTAGAACTTGAACCCAGTACCTGACTTTTTCACTCATTGGCTAATGCTCTACCTACTAAGCCATGCCTCCAACGCAGAGAGAAGCTTTTCTCTGAGCCTTTCTTATTATTTCTCCTCCTTTACACTCAGATCAAAGATTCCCCACCCATGTCCAACCCTGTCACTCAACTTCCAAAAGCACCCCCATCTATATTAGCCTTGATCTCAGTATCCTGACTTGTACAGAACACCCTTGAATCCCAGAGACCTGATCATTCATCCTACCATTCTTACCTTGTTCAGCTGAATTCCCTGCCGGATTTGATCCAAAAGTGCCCCCCGACCCCCACCAGAGGCCAGGCTGCTCCCTGTCCCAAGAGTAGGAGGGGGTGGGGGAGGGACTGGCCCACTTCCAATGGAGGGTGGAGGTGGGGGTGGAGGAGGCGGAGGTGGCATGGATGCCCCACCAACAGCAGGGGGTGGAGGAGGTGGTGGTCCAGAACGTCCAGTGGCTGGAGGTGGGGGGGGTGGAGGGCCCCCTCGGCCTGGGGGTGGAGGGCCCCTGGGTGTTGGTGGGGGTGGGACATTTCCCATAGGTACAGGAGGCAATGGGCCAGTACGACCCTTGTTACCCCCCACCATAGGGGGCCTGGGGGCCTGGTTCCCTCCTCGGCATGGTGGGGGAGGTGGTGGAAGAGGCTCTGTGTAGAGAAAATAACACATAGGTGCAATTATTTTCACTCCTTTTTTTTTTTTTTTTGTAGATTGTAAGGCTTGAACTCTGGGCCTGGGCGCTGTCCCTCAGCTCTTCAGCTCAAAGCTAGCACTTTACCACTTGAGCCACAGCGCCACTTCCGGCTTTTTTCTTTTTGCTTATGTGCTGCTGAGAAATCAAACCCAGGGCCTCATGCATGCAAGGCAAGCACTCTACCACTGAGCCACCTTCCCAGCCCTTTTTCTTTTTGCTTATGTGGTGCTGAGGAATCGAACCCAGGGCTTCAGGCATGCAAGGCAAGTGCTCTACCACTGAGCCACCTCCCTAGCCCGATTTATCTGGTTTTACACACACACACACACACACACACACACACACACACACATTGCTACCTTCATTGTGACATCCCAAGGTTTGATTTGCACTAGGAACTGGATGAAGGTGAATTTTACAACTGAGAAAGGGGATCCTCCACCAATCAAGATCATGGGGTCGGCTGGGAAGATGGCTCAGTGGTAGAGTTTTTGCCTTGCATGCCTGAGACCTTGGATTCAATTCCTCAGCACCACACCACGTTTGCAGAAAAAGCCAGAAGTGGTGCTGTGGCTTACTTAAGTGGTAGAGTACCTTGAGCTAGAGAGCAGAGGGACAGTGCCCAGGCCCAAAGTTCAAGCGGCACAACCAACAAAAAAAAAAGATCATTGGGTTCAGGTTGTGCATGAGAATGGGGCCTAGTCATTGCATATGTTCTTTATCTTGTTATGTGTGAACTGAAAATATAATTAAGCTGGGCACCAGTGGCTCACACCTGTAATCCTAGCTACTCAGGAGACTGAGATCTGAGGACTGAGGTTCAAAGCCAGCCTGGGCAGCAAAGTCCACAAGAATCACCTCCAATTAATGACCAAAAACTGGAAGTAGAGGTATGACTCAAGTAGTAGAGTATCAGCCTTGAGTAATGGAGCTAAATTACAATATCCAGGCTCTAAGTTCAACCCCGTGGACTGGAACAAAAAAGGAAGAAGAGAAGCGAGGAAGGATAGTTAAATATATGTGTAAACAAATAGCTTTCATTTTTCCATTCTTTTAAATTTGCAGTTACTTGTCAGTTAAAGAATACATTTCTTGGCCCTGGGAAGGTGGCTCAGTGGTAGAGCGCTTGCCTTGCATGCATGAGGCCCTGGGTTTGATTCCTCAGCACCACACAAGCAAAAAGAAAAAAGCCGGAAGTGGCGCTGTGGCTCAAGTAGTAGAGCACTAGCCTTGAGCTGAAGAGCTGAGGGACAGCGCCTAGGCCCAGAGTTCAGGCCCCACGACTGGACCCCCCCCCAAAAAAAAGAATACATTTCTGAAGCCTGGCGCTGGTAGCTCACACCTGTAATCCTAGCTACTCAGGAGGCTGAGATCTGAGGATCTCGGTTCAAAGCCAGCCTGGGCAGGAAAGTCCGTGAAACTGTTATCTCTAATAAACCACCAGAAAACCAGCAGTGGCGCTGTAGCTCAAGTGGTAGAGCGCTAGCCTCGAGCTGAAGAGCTCAGGGACAGACAGCTCTCAGGCCCAGAGTTCAAGCCCCATGATCGACCAAAAAAAAAAAAAACAACCCAAGAATACATTTCTTTTGGACAATGACACCTGTTACTTTGCTCTCTCTTAGTTTTTCCCTCATGTCCCCACCCACAACTTATATAATTTGTTTTCAACATATTATCTAGGGAGTACCACTGCTGCATTTGTTCGCCCTTAGTCTCTCATTTGGGTGCCTCTCTTCCCCTCCCAAAGAAAGATAACAGAACAAACAAGACCAAAGAAAATGAAAATAAAAACAAAGAAAAATTCCTCTTGTTTCCAGCAACTAACTAGCTCTCATTTACCATACTCAGACTCTTGCCAAACTTTTGGTCACCTTAGAGTTTTTGCACTGACTGCTTCCTACTTTGCTTTTCCCTTAAATGTTCCCTGGACTACTTTTGTCTCTGTAGATCCAACAACACAGTCACCTACTCTGACTCTTCTTCCCTGACTTATCTTCTGGAATGTTGTTTCCCCCTTTATCTCTCTTCAGTATTCTAGTTATCACTTACCACAACCAGTTAGTTAGCTAGTTAGCTTCAGGTTCTTTGACTCTCATCCCCTGGAATGTCTATACCACCCTAGCCCATAAAATATTTCCTGGCAGTGAACATTTGTACAGAGTCAGAAAGGCACAAAGAAATAGACAAGGGGGCTGGGAAGGTGGCTCAGTGGTAGGGCGCTTGCCTTGCATGC